AAAAAAAACACCTCTCCGTGCAATGTCAGTGCTTTAAAAGTAGTTTTTTTGTTTTTTTTTTTTGCTAAAGGTGACTGTGACGATGACAAGCTAAGAAAGCCATGAACGGCAAGGAAACTTTTTTATCGCACTAAAATGATTTGCAATGCTTTTATGCGGTTCGGGGGTACTGTCAGTTTGGCTGGCCGATAAGTCGATACAGAAAACAGTGCTCATTGTATGATACGTTACAGCTGATGAAAAATCACAATTTTAAAAATCTCAGGGGATGGGGATGACTGTAGCAGCGTGCTGAGACTTCATTTTGTGATCACTGCTTTGGCCGACATCGTCGGTCGATCGGCATGAAGCAACACTTATTGAGTGCGTTGAGATATCTTTTTTTTTCATCCTTCAGCGCGCTATAAGATGCATTTCTTAGTCGAAGTCAGATGCTTATTTGAACGCTGATCTTGATCAAGTTGCGCGGCACAGCGGCACATAAACAATAGAGTCAGACATAGACGGCACCGAATAATCGAAACCTTGTGCTTTTTTAACGCACTTTTTTCTTTGAGTGCCGTCCTGGCGCACAGTTTGACCAAGATAACGCACATGGACTCGTCCATAGCCTCGTGTAAACTTACTCTTGAGTGAAGCTTTTGCGTTTTTTGGTCATATATATGAGTGCAATAGCCGGTGGTCTTCTCGTATGGCAAGTCAATTTCACCCGCGCGTTCCCATAATACATTTCCTAGGCGCTTGCGCGACATTTTATTTTTAAATATAATATTCACAGCAAATTTATGCGTAAGTTTTTCTTTTCAGTGTGGAATATACACGTATCTGTGATAAAAATGTCTTCGCACACTCTGGCTTCAACGTTCCGTACTGAAAGGGTATACCTGTCGCTGTGGCGCTCTTCACAGCCGCCGCCCACCTCATTTTTCTTTCTTCGTTCCATGGGAATCGATACACGCCATTTGCCTTTCACGCTCGAGTGTGGGCAGCCAGCGGCTGAACAACCGACCATGGTTTATCAGGACAAAAACAAACGGGCGACCACACGCGCGAATCCCGAATAATCTGACGCTTGCGGCAAAGTGGTTCGCCGTCGTCTATTTTTCTCGAACCGGAAGCCGGTAGCAGATGGTGCATCCCACAATCCCTCGCTCTTTTACTGGTCATCTATAGAAGCTTAAAATGCTTATTTTAGCGCATGGGTACTTCGGGAGACAAGACGAAAGCGATGGTAGTTTTTCGCCTCAGGGCACAACAATGTGTACGCCCTCTAGGTTTTCTATGTTTTTCATTTTATGTGGTTTTGAAGAGGAAGAAGAAACGCAATACCTAACTTGTGCTTTATATGTCTACGGCTGCCCAAAGCATTATGTAAAAAAAAGAAGAAGCCTGAAGGTTTCATCAGCCCACAGTTTTTAAGTTACGGGTCGGTGTTTGCGATGACGTAGCACCTTCGTAATTGAGCACTTACCGCATCACACGGAAATGCGTTTTTTTTTCGTTTTTTTCTCGACAAAATCTAATGCATGATTTGCTTATCCCTTCTGTGCGTGCATTGAAATATCAAGGTTCCACGTCGCGACCTTTAAATGTAGGTCGAAGCCTGCTTCACGGCCGACTCCCAGAACAGCTGCCAAGGACGGCTGTTTCGATAAGTGAAGAAATCGTCATCGCCAGTGACGATCTGGCCTTCCTTTCTTACTACACAGTGGTTTGAAGATATATTGATAAGGGTTATATAAGCGAAGGTCTCTCCGCGATAGGCGGTGTGTCTCTAGGCGGTTTGCATGAGACACTTCTACACTCGGGAACACAGCTGTCCTGTTGCGGACGTCGTGTTGCGGGCAAAACTTCGTATCTTACTGCTTCCTTTTCGGTCCTTGGAGTATCGCAAGTTCGCATCGCTCCTTCAGTGCCCTCGTCCGCCAAGTTTGGTGCTCACGTGCCAGCAGAACCGAAATTTGGTTTCCGTGTTCAATAAGAAATAAACTGTCAGAGTGACTCTTGTCTCCATTGTTCAATGTATTTTGTTTTCTCCTTGTTCAGAGAACTAACGATAACTAACGAGAAGACGAGGCTGCCACGAGTCGTGATCCCAGCTCTGACGCAGTGCTAGTTGCGTTAAAAATTCAGCCGCTTCCACTGAGAATGGCGCACTTTGCTGCCATTGTTCGAGACACGCTGTACGCTTTTGGCCAAATGAAACCGCTTTTTGCCATGTAAATGGGCAATAAAGAAAAGGTACCGTTGATGTAGACAAGAAAATTAGCTTATATAAGCTAAAGATAGGATTATTTAGGCAGAGAAAAGCATGGAGCCCTAAAGACGTACTTTGCTCGTTGTCTGATGCTAATAAGTAGTCAAATTAGCTTACACTGGAGCGGTGAGTGTTCCGTCGCCCTTTCAAAATTAAATTATGTGTTTGCTATCAACTTAAGCAACTATTAGTGATTGAGCGACTTGGCAAGATATTTTTTTCGCTTTGGGCTGATCCCATTGCGGTGAACTAGAGTCATCTGAATAATTAGCGTCTTTAGTAACAGCTCATGTTTTGTGTATAGTTGGAGTGGGAGCACTTTGATCATCCTGAATCAGGTCACGGGATCAAATGCCGGCCGCGGAGGCTGCATTTTTGACGGAGGCGAAAATGCTGTTGCCCCGTGTGCTCAGATTTGGTTGCACGTTAAAGGACCCCAAGTGGTCGAAATTTCCAGAGACCTTCCCAAGTGCGTCTCTCATAATCATACCGTCATTTTGGGTGAGACGTAAATCATCCCCCTCAAAAAAAAACAAAGAAAGAGATCGTCCCAAAATATTTTAAAGGTGAGTTTTCAAGACATAAAATTTGTGGTTGGGTAACTTCTTCAGTCACAAAAAGTCGTGCACGAAAATAAAGAAAGGTGTGCACGAAAATAAAGAAAGAAAATAAAGAAAGAAAGGAAGAAATAAAGAAAAGTACACGATCACACGCGACGCTCACATTAATTTTTAATTACTGTCTTTCTTTGTCCTACTAACCAGAAATAAGTGCTTCCTTGCTTGCATAAATCACACACTTTACGAAAAACGATAAAAAGGGTGTTTTTTTGTTCCACAACAATAATCGCCATGTTCGTCATCAATGCGACGAACATGACGTCAAGACGAATGTGTTCGCCTTCCTGTGCACTACCGCCATGAGCCTGCTAATTGGAAGTCAAGAAAAGCATGCGCGTTGTCAGCGTGATGTAGCGTTGTTGTTAGCAAAGTGGCGAGAGCTACGTTTACAGGCAAGAAAACGCAAGGAGGCCAGCTGACGATTATTGTTGTTCGACAAGAAACGCCCTTTCGGCACCATCTTAGCTCAGAGTGCACAAGAGAAACAAAACCAGAGTAGTAACAACAGCGTATACAACCCAAGATGTACTGCATCTTCAAACAATACAGTCGAAACTCGCGCTAATGAAATCCGATTTTAAGAAGTTCCCGATGTAACGAGATGATTCCTATTCCCCGGCAAACACCCGCAAAGTATTGTGTTGTCATCAACCTAAGTTAACAAATCAACTCAGCCAATTACCGCAATTTATTGAAGTTTCTTCTAAAAAATAAGAAAACACCGATTTCTCTTCAATTCTTTAACAGAGACAGATTTTTGTTCGAGTGTGCGCTTTAACGCTCAAGCGTTATCAGGCTTTGTCAAGGCCTTGTAGCTTTATTTTGACGAAAATGCATGCACGCCCCTCCAATGCGCGCAACAGTGGACGCGGCAGAGCGCTCTTACATACTGAATGGGACTCGGGGTGGCAGTGGTTGCTTTCGTTAATTTTTAGTTTATGCTGCAGCACTAATAACCACCTTCCGAATTCCTTGCTCAGCCTACTAGCACAATCCCCGCAATCGCTCTCTGCGTCATCGCATATCGGTAGCCTGTGATAGCCCCTCGTGACCGCCTACCTTATGACTTGCACTGCCCGAACAAGGAGGCCTCTAAGATGGGCCTGCTTCGCAGACATGATTTTGCGTCAAATACAATGCAGTAGAAAGTTCTTAGTGTTCCTACGTTACAATTTCATATTTAGAAGGTCCGAATAATTTCTTTCTAGACTTGACCAACTGGCCAATCCGATGAAGTGATTCAAGCTTGGCCATCCCTTCGTGAAATGAAGTTTTAGCTGTAATGCCAAAGGACTGCGCCACCCTTTCTAAATTTTAAATATTTTTTTCGGAAGTCGACGCTTACAACGTTCGGCCTACCGGCCTTAAAGTTCGGCCTTATTTGTTATCGAGTTGTCAAATTTACAGTCATAATAACTGACATATATCTTCAGTGAAGGCAAAGGGAAGCCACTGTTTCTACTACATAGAGCGAGTACGGCGTTCGATAAGGTGAAGCTAGAACTTAAAACCACGCCAGTTGCTTGGGTTAATTTAATGGTTTGACAAACCGGGAGCTAGAACTTTCCCGAACATATTAAGGAATTGTGGGCGATGTGCACGTGGAAACACTTCTGAGAACTTCAGAGACAGTAAACAAATGGGGTCTACTATTATTTTAAAGCTCTTCATTATCACCACAGCAGGCTCTTTGTAATTAGCGTGCTTCTCAACTTTTGCTTCCTTCAGGAACAAAACTAATTATTCGCTCTAAAAGGGTTCAATTGCGTAAATATTAGTTACTCGATACTCTCCAATGTCCCATACTTTACTTCTGGGTAATCTATGTTTATGAGTAAACACTTCAGAGTAATCCTGAGACAATAAACGAATCTTGCTTACTATCTCTTCTCTTGAGGCTATTCATTAATACCACAGTGGGCTTTTTGTAATTGGCGTGCTTCGTATATTTCTATTCCCTTTGCAAACAAAACTACTTACTCGCTGTAAAAAGGTTCACTTGCGTAAATATCAGTTACTAGACACTCTTCATTGCAAAATACCTTACTTAGTTAGCAGCTTGAAAAAATAAACCATTCCGGAGAAGTAATCTGCTCTTTTTAATATTACTAGACAGTTCTTACCGAATGTAACGGCGAATGAGCATAATCCACAGGACGGCGAGGTAATGCCCTCTGAGGTTCTTCATTCTCTTGAGCACATTGAAGGACAACAGGAATCCGCTGAAACCGAAAGGGGCAAGAGTTGTCTTAAAAGATCGTGAGACAGGATTCATAGTACACAGTCGTATTTTCGCCAAGTATTTTTATTCAAGTATAGCACGCAAGTGTTTACCATAAATAGACTCTATCAACAATTAACACCACCTGCGCTATACAGGTGGAATTAAATGCACTAATGTAGTGCAGAGCATTGATTGTATTCAGATTATGTGTAAACTCCCTTCGATTATAAGACATACACAGAGTCCTTCTATAAGCTGAGTGAAATTCAACCGCGTTCCCAGCACATCTACTATGGAGGGTCGCACCTGCTTTTTGCTGATGTTTATAAGGCTGAACTCATTTTGCAATATTTTGGCCGTGTTAGACGTTCAACATTCAAAGAGATATAGAGGCGCCCATCGAGTCGAATGATGAAAATAATCTGCAGAGCTGGTGAAGACAATCTCATGTCTTACGTGATGAGGAAGTCACGTTATTCATGTCATGACCTGCCAGTCTTGTTCTTCATATATTCGCGGTGCCTTGTGACTACTTTCGTGTGTACCAAACTAGAAAAACTACCGTGGTAGCGCCAAGATGTAGGCGACTAAATGCATAAAAATCGTCGAAGTGCGTATCATTCGGTAAAAGACATATTGAATTTAGTATGAATAGTAAATCTTATTGTTGGTCTAGATGGTCATGCTACAAGAAAATTAGACGATGCAAAATGCCAAGATGAAAAGGCGAAAGAAAGAGCATCACGCGCGAAAATTCTTGCAAACGCACCGCAATAAATTACGCCATGTTGCACATGAGCAATAACACACCATTCATCCCATCACAACAGTCGGCCACCATGCTATCACCATTCTAAGTAGAAAGAAGGAGATGGTTGACCGAGAGATTCTAAAAGCATACCTCATCAAAAAGAAACGGAAAGGTGTCTCTATTACCGAAACTTCGGTGGTCTGGCGTTGAGTTTAATTTGGCTTTTTCGTAAAGGTTTCATAACTAGCGCTTGCATTGAGAGCGGCTGGTTGTTGTGGTATGACGCATTGTGTGTTATTAGGAATGTGTGGCATATTGTATTGCGGTGGTTTTGCAAGAAGACTTGTGAATGAGACTCTTTCCTTTCGCCTATTCTTCTTGGTTATTTGCGTCGTGTAATTTTTTTGAGATATGAGTAGTGACAACATATTAAATATGTGCCTGTAACGTTATTTGCATCCCGTCGTTGCGCAAACGTAGCTCTTGAAAAGCAACTGTCGACGACTTCCAATGTAATAATTTTGCAATTCGGCCATCTCACATGTAGCAGTTTCGTTGCGTGACTAAAATTAACGTAGAGCAAACATGCGCCATAAACGCGAGAAGTCTGCGGCATGCTAGCTTTGTACAACTTGTTCAACGGTGCATGGCTAGCACGATTGCCACCGTTGCGAAATTGCACACGGGGACATGAACTGTAAGCTAAAAAGAATTGAAAGGCTACCGTGTATGCTCACTTTCCGACTGAATTGAACGCAGTCTTTATATCATCCCAGCTAGCAGAAAGGTATCGCTGTCACTAACAGCGCCTCGAAAATAGATCAAAGGCTTACGTTCGGACTAGGAAGCCCCGATCATTTTAATTAGTGGTTTCGTTTTAGAGGCACATCCCGCCTTCACATCAGGACTTTGGGGTCACAAAACCTTACCCGATGAAGAAGAATGTTGCGATACTCGGGAACGCATTTCCGATCATTGTGAAGAAGGGCTCTTCTGTAGCGTCGATAACCTTGAAGTAGCTTCCTGTAGACATGCGAAGAGAGAAGGGGCATTGTTAATCTCAGACAAGGTTGCTGACGCATTTGCATCTTGAGGCGACACTGTAAAACGCGATGGGTAAAACTCGAAGTTTCGTTCAATACAAAGCCCTAATTCAGCGCGTAATCTCTATGATAACGTTCCTAACAAACACCTTATTCACATAGGTTTGCTAGTTAAGAGGATGCAATCTAGAAATGATGAGAACGTTTGCACAGTAATTGTAGGGACATTACGAGAGGCCGAGAGCATTCTGTGCCACTGCGGCCGCATTTTTGTTGGTGGCGGAAATACGTGAGGCCCGTGTATTCAGCTTTAGGTGTAGGTTAATGAATTGCATGCGGGCAAAATTTCTTGAGCCCCTCACTACGGTGTTTCTAATAATCATATCAAGATTTTCGGACGTTACACACAGGCAATTATTATTATTATTATTATTATTATTATTATTATTATCATCAAAATATTTGTCACAGATATGAATACAGTGCTAAATATTTGAGCTTAGTTGCGCCATTGTTCTTTTGATCTATATCAGTGTCTGACTGCTGTGTCAGTTTGTGCTGGCTGTTGCAACCTTTACTTACTATAATAAATACCTACCGCGCAAGTTACTGCGAGGTAATCGTAAGCACTGGGATGGATGAACGTTACAAATAATTTATAGCTAGTTATCACTAATGCGTGTTGTCCTTACGGAGAGCGCTGATGTCCACAATGAAGTAAGTGTGTCCGAGAATGACCCATGTTGTGCTGAACACCTTGATGCCGGCGAAACTTCCCAAGATCTCGTTGTCCGAGCCATCTTTAAAATCGCTGTTCAGAAGCTTTCTTGTGTTGATTGTAACAGCAAAAGCCATGAGGTATTTCCATGCGGAATCTGCGTGAAATGGAATCGGTGATTCAGCAAGCACCATAACGAGATATCGGTAGCTCTCGCCTCCATTCAACACTAGTGGTTGCTAGGCAATATTTTTTAAGAGGTGGGATTAGCGTCTCTGAACAGCTAAATATATATATATATATATATATATATATATATATATATATATATATATATATATATATATATATATATATACTCTGAAAACGTTAAGACGCTTCCGTGAAAGTTTCGTCGTCTCTTTCTTGCATATATATATATATATATATATATATATATATATATATATATATATATATATATATATATATATATATATATATATCAAGCGAGTGTCTTCTGTGAATCCAGTGATAAATAGAAATTGGCTTGAGCGGACAAACGTGCGAAAACTTTTATTACTCCTACGTTTCGGCCAGGGTCCGGCCTTCGTCAGGGAATTCCCTGACGAAGGCCGGACCCCGGCCGAAACGTAGGAGTAATAAAAGTTTTCGCACGTTTGTCCGCTCAAGCCAATTTCTCTCTCTCTCTCTCTCTCTCTCTCTCTCTATATATATATATATATATATATATATATATATATATATATATATATATATATATATAATAAATCTATTTCCTCGCCTGTTCTTGCCTTCCGCAATTCATGAACTGGGCTCCCTGTGCACAACATTATCTGAGCAATGAATCGGTATATATCGTCACAGCTTCTAGCTACATTCCGCCAGGAGTCTAACTCGTTCTATTCGCGCAGTAGTTTTTTCTTGCTGACGCAGCTACACAAGACGGCCACATCGTGGCCAGAAAGCGCCAATATTCGCATTCTGTGGCACTGGTCACAGTGGTACGCACAAGAGGGCTCAAGAGCGATCACCATTTACAGTTATCTAGACGGGTAGGCCAATTCTGTTCAATTCATTTACTCAGTCTGTCCTTGCTCGTCATTTTTTATTGCGCAGGGCTATGCGTGTTGGTCAGCCATAATGTCGACCAAGGATTCCTGATTTCACATTCAAAGATCTGTTTATTTACCACGTTTACCCAGAAAGGGCCTTTGTGACAAGAGCCTCATTGCATCATTTGCATTCTTGCATCCTTTGTGGAGTTCATTTTTTTTCGGACTGAAAGAAAAAGTGGAGGACTATACTGTAGAAAAGTCCTCCCCCCTCCCCCTAATGAAGGGCCCTCCGCACGCCTATAGGCGCTTGACTCAAGCATCGAATCATCAGGCGAGAACACTTTCAGCGTGTTGGTCTTGCGCAACTTCAACCTAAGCGTTCATGCAAGGGCTCTTGGAGATGTTTTTTTTAAGTGTTTCTACAGAGTTCTGTAAGCATACTCTCAGTGTGTTTCTCACATACCTGGATCACGAGCGCGGCTGTCTTTCTTCAGGAAGATGTCGAGCCCAGTGGCCAGGAGCATCAAGAAGGAGAGCACCCCTATGAGAGACCTGCGCATGACGCGTTTCAAAGCAAGCACGTGAACAATCATTCACAGTTATTCATCCGGAACCAGAATCACAAGATGTCCGTCTTAATATAAGAAAGTAGCCCAATGTTTACTTCAAGCCGGCTAGGCCTGCACCGTAGCACATTATTTTATTTTGCTTTGCGGCTATGAGAAAAAATGTCGGGTGACCGTTTCGATAAGTAGGAGAGCTCATTACGGTAGGGGGTGTCTCCATTCTATGGCAGTAATATCTGTTTTTACTTTTGTGTTTTCCTGTTTAGATAAAAACCTTCGTGCTATGCTGATGAAGGGCGGATGAACACATTTATGCCTCTGCTCTCACAGACTCTACAAAGAGAGGAACTTTTTATTCGGAATTCACAGTGCCTCACACAAAACAGTACCTTGTAAATAAATATCGTAGTTTTACCTGACCAATCAAATTACTACGGATGTCGTTAAAATGAACACCAAGTAAGATTGATTGAACCATTCATGCTCCTCACTGCTAACGTGCCCATTTATTTGAAGTTTGTATAGTAATGCTTCGCGTAACGTTTAACATTGCCTTATAATAGACGTCGTATGTGGAGACTTCCAAATTTATTTTTTGGCAGCTGTTTTCTATTAAACTGCAATTGAGGAGACACTAGAAAGAAACAAAAAATTATTTTATACTTTGAAAATATATTCTCAAGACTCTAGTATCGTTAGTTTCACCATCACATGTTTATAATAAACTAAAAAAGTTGATCATTAAAATAATTTAAAATTTCTTGCCAAAAGTTTTGGTGGGATAACACTTATTTCAAAGTGTCCTTTGTACCGTGGCCTCATTGGCTCAGTGATTTTTTTTAGAAACTTCATAGAATATGTCATGTCCCTGGCTCTCTCAGAAGACAATGTACTACATTTTTGTCGATTAGGAACTACGTAGACCTTATCTTTTTGCGTGTTTTCTATCTTACCAAGTGCCTTCTCAAAGCAAGTATGGTCCTTTTGTTATGGTGAAGGTGTGTAGAAAACTCTTTTTTTTCCTATTCGGTCTCTCTTTAAGCCCAAATGCATGTAAGTGTTTTGAATTTCATTTTCACTGATACACGACTGCCTAGTTCGGGTAAACTTACTGTTTACCAACTCATCGACATAGCAAGAATAATATACCATGGCGAGTACAAAAAAGCACTCAAATGGTTTTCGCACGTCAATTAGATTGGTACAGTTATGCCATTTTAGGCCGGCGCATTATGGCCGCCTCTGTGGGTCATCGCACTTCCGAGAGCAGTGAAGCACGCGTCGGCTTCGTCAGTGACTTTTCGCTCCTCCTCTATAACTTTCCTCCCCTCTCCCCTTCTCCAGAGTGCATGTAGCCTACCGGGGCTCATCCCTGGTTATCCTCCCCGCCTTTCTCCTTATTCTTTTTTTGTCTCTCACACACAAGAAGGCTATAATGGCAATTTCAGTGGCATGGTTCCGGCTGTGCCATCTAACGGGTTGTAGACTACAGTGACGGATGTCAAAAGAAAACGGCTGCGGCTCTCTTAGAGGCAACAAGAAACAACCTCGCGGTAGCACTCCGCAGGTGCGAAGTGCTCCCAAGGCCGGCCGGTTGCGCGCAAGAGCCTCGTGGGCATCGACCGCTGCAGTGCGAGCCAACGTACCCGGTCACGGTCATGTTCGCGTGTTGGCCGTTTCCTGGCACTTCTTGCGAGTTGGCAACAGGCTGTTGACTTTTGAATGTGTGTCATGAACCGCTTCCAAGTTAGAGATAGTGTCCCGTTCATCAGAAACTACTTAAGCTGCGATGAGAACACGATAAGGAACAGGAAAAAGAGGGTGATATGTAAATTCACAAGCAAGCTTGGAATACATAATCACGCTTAATCGCGTGAGAGGCTAACTGACCCAGATCTCTTGTATTGGTAACTTGGCATGATTCAAGCGGAACCTAACGTAACTGGGTATTTACGCACGTGTTCGTGCACCTTTCTTTCTTAATGAAGTGCAAAATAATTAGGTTAAATTGGAATGTACAGTCTTTGTCCCTATAAAGATAAGAGGTAAATATAAGTGTGCAACTATGGGTAGCTAGTGTGGACATCGATGGCCGAACTAAAGCACTTACTGGGCTTGCGGCCTGAGGAGTAAAAGAGGGTAAGAGAGATTGGGGAGAAGAATTCAAGACCAAGCGAGATAGGTGCTTATTATTGTCTTCCTATGGAGCTGTGCCTGCGGTATTTTAGAAACGACTCTATTGCAAGGGGAAACGGCCGGCCGGTTTGTGCAATTGGTCTATCAGCCACTGCACGAACACGTCATGCGTGATTGATGACCTGTTAATGTTTGGATGAAAAGACCCCGGGGAGAGCTTGAGGAGCGGTCAGTACTCCTCGCAGTTTTTTTCCCCGGAGAATCTCTCGATCCGTAAAGTTCTGTTCAGTACATCGTTTTACTCCGAGTATTATTTGTTTATTCCTTCTAAATATACCGCCAAGTAATGTCGAAAAGTTCAGGTGGCGCAACTAATAGCCAAAGGCTATAGAATAACTGCTTGAGAAGACTTAACAAACTCGCCCTCTGCATGCATCTCTATAGGCCGACGATGGTTTTTACGTTCCCAAAAAACAAAGAATGAAACATAAACATTTGTTTAGCAAACTTGATATTTAAGTTGCATGTCTCATGAAGAGAGTAGCCCCGACGCTGTGGTCTAGTGCCTAAGGTACTTGGCTGCAGACCCGTAAGTCGCGGGATCAAATCCCGGCTGCAGTTTCTATGGAGACGAAAATGCTGTTGGCCCGTGTGCTAGTATTCGGGTGTACGCTAAGGAGCCCCAGGTGGTCTAAATTTCTGAAGCACTCCTCTACGGCGTTTGTCATAATCATATATGGTGGCTTTGGCGTTAACCTCTTCATATGAAACATTCAATCATCTTGAATAATGTATGCACTCTTTGCTTTGAAATATAGCAAACGTATACACTAAAGTGGTCACGCTCCACCTCATTCTACAGTGACAAAAATCAGAGGTATACATTGTATCAGCATGGGAGAATCTTAAATTTGTGCCTACCACGTGGAGCTCAATCTCTGTGAACATGTAAAGTCCTTGCTACCATTGTAAGAAAAATTGAGTACTTACACCATGCCAATTCGTACGCCGTTCCAGTCCCTGTCTTTGTTCAGCACAGAATCGCAACCGGAGACGTGGTACTTGAACCCGTAGGGGTCAAGTGCTACAGAAGAGAATGAATAACGTGATCAAAGTTAACGCGAAGCCGGCATTATTTTAAGTGGTAAAATACATGCGGAATTTCTGTACGTTACGCTAAAGTAAACAATCATGAAGGGACAAGAACTGTAATCTCGTAACACCACCCTCGCAGCTGATACTGCCCTTTTATAATATTTCGGCAATGAATGTACAAATAAGACGTGAGTGGGAAGCGCTTCCTCCTTTGTTGAGCGCAGATAGTCAGAAAGTGTTGTTCTAATGCAGCAACACCTTGAGCATGTATAGTATATGCACATCTTCTATATTCTGCATATTTTCTCCAGCTAACGCCCAGCGTGTGAGCCGGCATTTGTCCGCATAACTGATCCCTTCATCAGGTCCCCTTCAGTATATATATCTCTCTGTGCTGTATTGACCCCTTAGTTGTCTAATTTCGATGACGTGGGTTCGCTTTGAAGACGTGGACAAGGGAGTGACATGACAGGAACAACGCGGCGTGTGTCCCGTCTCTTCCCTGTCCGCGTCTTCAAAGCGCACCTGCCTCATCGCCAGGCAGAACCAACTGACCCGTCTAAGAGCGTAAGGTATCACCACTTAATTTATTAGACGCTCTTTTTTATTTCATTATGATGGTCAGCTCAGAGTATTCAATAAAAGACGGAAGATGCATAGGTGAGCCCTTAAAGAGCCAAATGTTAAAAAGAAGTTTTCTACTTACTAAGGCCAATCATGCGCCGTACGTCCGCAATCGTGCAAAGTTCTGGCAAGCATAGGCCCAACCTCTGACCCTTGAAGTAACTTCGCTCGTCTGATGAGAAAAAGTCTGGTGCTCGTCGCCCCTGTAATAAAATTCGGAACAAGCTTAAGCCGTTTAACCACTTTGCACAGTAATGCCACATTCTGATCATGTACATCCGAGTGCAGTGCTATGAATAAGGCTTGATTAAGGAAGTATTCACGCGACTCTTAGACTTAAGGACAGTCGTGTCGAAGAGTAGCCTTGAAATTTAAGAAAAACATATCGATTGGAGACAAGACGACGAAATAAATTCTCTGCGGCTGAAATGAATGACATTATTGTTTATATTCGCCAGCAAAGATGTAGAGGCTACCTAATGTATCACGCATAATATTCTTTTTTTCCTGTAAAAGATATATCATAGCAGCAACGAATAGGAGGCCTTGTAATATATTTACACTCATTTTTAGACACTGTATATATTTAATACATATAGCACAACATATATTTTAAATAATGGTTATCAGACTGCTAACATGAAATGACATGGTACTTGTACCGGTGCTCTTTGGCCTCTGATGTCCTTGCAGGAAAACATTTAGAGTAATAATACAATATATAGCGTTTATTTTCAAACTAGGCAGTGAAATTTGTTGGCCTGATGCGTGACCGATGGCGGCACTGCGAACTGCGCTTGTATGACGTCAGTTCAAGTAATCGCGTGCTTTCGAGGCGCAGTGCCATATAAAAACCACCGTCATAATAAAACTCAGCGAAAACGCCGTTCCATTGGTTATCGTGTGTGCGGTGGCTACCGACGCTGTTCTAAGAACCATGGGTGTCTGCTTTTAAGGCTAATTTTAAACGCAGGGCAATTTATTTCCTTAAACTGTGGCCGCACGTCACCGTGGTGATGGCTGCTCAGATTTATACAACTTGGGCTGCTCAAATTTGCCAACTTGGCCTGCGTCCTTCGTCAACATGAGAGCGTGATGTTTCGCTTGCTGTATGGGACATGCTTGTAGATTCTGGCGAAAGGCAGACTCCTTACAATTTTGAAACACTCCAACTAATTTCTATCGCATGGCAGAAAGTGCAGATGACAAATGAGCGCACTCGCACTTAGTTTAACTTTCTGAATAGAAACGCGGTCGGCGGCACCAGTGTGCTTATCGGTCATCTGGGAGGTTTATTGTCCCTGTCGATAGGGCCGCAGCTAAAAGAAATTCATATTTGCGCTCAAAAACATTCGTTGTGGGTGTTCGTTCACTCTCGCGAGGCTGTTCATTCGGGGAAGTTTCCACCCGAAGCAGATGATCTGCGCACAGAAGCAGCGGCCACAGCAGCACGGTTGAGAGCGGAGTCCACAAAATGATGTCACACGCGAGAGGGCGCCACTCCAATATCTCGAAGCCAATATTAATTGCCAGCACTGCTGATCTACTATTTTTTAACCAAGAAGCTTTCGCACATTAAAAACCAGCAAATGGCGACCGAAATGAGTGCATCGCACATTTGAGAAAGAAGACGCTTGTTCAATCACGATGATAATAATGCACATACGTCCCGCTTCTTCCGACTTCTTCAATAAATGTTATCCGTGTGAAACTTGAGGTATCATGCTTGAGTAACACTAATGCTGTCGCTCTTTGTATGCTGCCAAGGACAAGTGAATCGAAATGGTCAGGCACTCTGAATAAAGATGACGATGTGTGTGTTACTTCGTGATCTTCTATACGGCTATCTAGATAGGCGCTTTCATTGATACCATAATTCATGAACAACTAGTGCACAAATATTACTGGCAGTACAATTTCTCAGAAGGGTGCTCCAGATTGATTAGATTTGGAAAAAAAAAGCCGCTGAGATTTTGCAGCCGTCTAGTCGCACAAAGCCATTTTCTAGTCGCACAAAGCCATTATATTGATTGTTTGATGGTGTCTATTATGGAGGAAGAAGATGTTAGTTTGGTAGCACGGCGTCGACGAGCGTGTCAGAAAAGTAGCATTTACCGAGAACAGCAACTGAAAGCGCAGAAATCACGGTGTTCGCATATTCAGCAGCCAGTGAAACCATCGCCAAGATAGCAAAACAAGATTAAAAAAGAGAAAAAAAAGTCAGGAACAAGACGTTCACTGAAATAAATCTTTAGTTAGCTGCCTTTTACTAAAAGAAGGAGAGCCATTGAGAGCGGCTCATTACGCTTGCCAAAGAAGGCCTAATAAGAAGCCAAAGGCAAAGAGAAAGCATGGTACTTGGAGGAGGCCACTTTCTCAGCTTAACACGTGGCGTGGCAAAACGCAGCAAAGTGCCATGAAACTGCTTTATAGGGTAATTTTTACAGATACTACCTTAAAAAAAGGGTTAGCTTTTAGTGACGTCAGCTACGTCGCAGAGATTCTCATGTGCCGCTGAGCAGAAAAGACCGGAAGGCTTTTTATTTGTTTACAGCGAAAGCTGTAATGAGATCAGAAACGGGTCACGTGCAGCGCCGTAGCTGTCTGCCGCCGCCGTCCCCACCGGTGTCCGTAACCAGTATCGAAAGAAAAAAAACACAGTAAATAGAAAAACGCTTACGACATGGTGGGCCTCGAACCCGGGCCCAATGTGTCCTTGTGCCACTGTGACAGCCTAGTATTATACCGCTGAGACAAGTGGATGTTTGGGGCTTGTTTGCGAACTTGGCTAAGGCAGATTTGATCTCGGGAAAGGTATCACAGTTATTATAAGTAATAAAGCGTTTTAGAACAGTGAAACAACCAGGCATCACACAATGTGAATAGCGTAACATATGGGTCGTCCAATGCTCCAACTCATTACAAAAGCTTGTTCTTGATCGCATACACACTTCAGGCATAATTCCTCATCGTCGTGAGCCACTGCATGAATGATTGGCACAAAATTTCTTGCAAGTGTTTAGCGGATACCACGCTTCTCAGAAGAATGACAAAAAATAGCATAGTGAATGCTAGAAATAATAGGTATTAATGCCGTAGTGGGTACTCAGCAAGTGTACTTGCAGCATTTACCCATGAGTGTTTAGAAAAGGCTCTGGAAGGCCACTCTTCAAGCTTTCGCTGTGACTGCGCTGCGCCTTCCGCGCAGGCTTGGCATTTTTTCTCTTCGTTTGAGCCTGCCACTTCAAAAACGCGCCATGCAGAATACGTTTATTATCGGAGTGCCAATAAACGTCTGAAAATTTAATCGGCGATCTGACACAACTTTATAAATAACAAAGGACACGCCGTATATATCTTTCACAATGAATCTGTGAAGAACACAATGCTCACCGCTTCTTTCAAAAATTTCGCGGAAGTGAATCTGCCAATGAACATCGTATGTTTTTATGCGGTCTTACAGCGTGAAACAATATAATAACTACAGTAAAAGGCACGTTCGGCGTAATCACATGTCAGGTTCACATTTTCTCAGCGAATAAGAACACGCCTTTGATATTCCGTCCACTTCATATCAAATAGAATGCGTGCTTTTTGAGCAGTTGAAAACAGGTATCGAACACAGACGTTGTGGCCCATCTAGCGAGTAGGTTACCCATACATTATTGTTATACTCCTAAAAGTGCCCGCATGTGTGGCGACGCGCGCGAATGCTCACCATGAAGTAGCCATCCTTTTGCATCCTTTGCGCCGACTTGCGAGCGAATCCCAGTGGGAGAGTCATGAATAGCGAGCAGTACTGGCCATAGATGGCAGCGTCGCCATTCGAAGGCTGATGGTGAACGGCCAGGCATTCCTCGTAGTCTCCGTACGATCCTGTCGCTCCATTCAATGTGCCAGGAGCAGGCCGGCCATTCGAGTCCATCACTGAAATCCGGACGCATTTTCATTTTTTCTTTCAGTGCCATGCCATGCAAGGACAAGATAACTACTTCTCTATGTATGCCATGCAATCTTAATTGGTGCGTGTTAAGCGAATAGAGGCGCGTAGACGAGAAAAGAGTAGGCAAGGTGTCACGAAAGCCAGCGGTCATCTTGTCTGCTCCTGATATCTCTTGCAAACGTCATGTGCTTATTGTCTTTTTTTTTCTATATGTGTTACAACAACAACACGAAACGTAGAACTTTAATCAGGAAATTATAAGACACCTTTTGTACACCTCATGTCCATGATAAATATTCAAGGTGAATTTCAGAAAATATTTGGCATCTATTTCTCCAGCTCGTCATTGTGTCCCACATCCAGTGTCGACGAAGGTTTTTTATACCGCTCAATCTGTACTCACATTTGTATTGCCATCAGTGCTTCGGGCATGTGACTTTGCTTGCAATTTCATATTAGGGACGGTCACCCACTCGAGGCAATGCTCATACCATCAATGCACTTTCCGCTCATAGCATTTCTGAGAAATGAAGACTTTATTGACTTTTGTGTTAGTGCACTTGTGTTGAGATATGTGCTAGCATGCTCACGTGCTTTGTTTTGTGCTTTTTTTCAATTTCCCTCTACTTGATTTTATCGCTCATCGTATCTCGTGTATTGGCGCACTAGACCTAATCGTAAGTATACCTATCGAGGCATGAGCTAACGCACACACACTTTCTCTCTTCATGCTGACAATGCCAATCAGAGCTGGGTTAACGAACAGTGATTCATTGGGTCAGTTGAGCCTGAGGATGGCGCTGTAGCTTACGCGCTCAAAAGTTTAGTAAATGTTGCAGTTAAAAAGCTCACAGTGTAAAGAAAATTGAGTGCCGTTGAATTTTTTGTCAATGGCTCAATAATGCTAGAAAATGGTAAACTATGGCCGGGTTCGTCGCTCCTCCTTATGAGTATTCTTAGGCTCAACTGTCTGTTCAAATAATGTAAAATCTGCCATGACTACTGCATCATCAATTAACATTGCATGTGTCTTTCCTAGTGCTGTAGGAGACGCTGCAGGCGTTTTGCTTTTCGTTTAATGCTCTTAATATGTTCATGTCTATAAGTCAACACATGCCGTGAATAAACTTAAAGCACCGGCGGATGTTTTGTGTAGTCCGTTGCTCCTTGTTCAGGTGTAATCAGTTGTTAAGGCATATAAAGCACTTTAAAATGTTGGCTGCTCCCAGTTGGTGTCAAAGCAGTTATTAAAGCTTATAAAGTGTTTAGAGTGTTTGCTGCCTAAACACAACATGACATATTTTATGTCCTAAGCTTTTTTCATGCTATTAAAAAATTAAGCACAAATTCAAGTAATGTCTCAAGCTGGTGCGAACACCATGTGCTATATCATATATTTGCCAGTATTTATCTGCATTAAACAGTTTTCATTTCTTCATCAAAAGTATCCCGAATTTCACAAATTGAGTAGTCAAAATAAATTTAAATTTAGTCACTCTTTAAACTGTTAAAGACCGCGTTGCGATTTCAATACTTATTTGGCCTTATACCATGCTGCGCAAGCTGTCAACAATGCGCCATACGCCGATAAGAGCTTAGTTGCAGGAATATGAACGAGGAAAAAAACAAGAATATTCAAGTAACATTTACGGCACGCTGTTAAGGACGTATGAATGTGTTATTTTTTGCAAACATGACCTACATGGCGAATATGACTTTTCTGTGAGCGTATTTTATGTACTTTTGATGGTGGCGGCCACATTTTGTGCCTGTATAGTGTACCTAAGAATGTTTGGCAGCGGACGATGATAGCTCGGCTCACTGCCGCACAAAAACAGGCCTAGGGGCCACAACGAAAACCTTGTGGATTGAGGGAAACAATCACTTTACTTTGCCACCTTCATCGCTCTAACACTGGGATGTCAATTTTCTTGGACCTCATTTAGGCGTCATGCACGGCTCACCACCTGAATTAGGTTTTTTTTTGTTTATTGCTACTCTCACGTCTTTGTATTTTTCCTTCTTTCAAAAAAGTATCATGCAGCACGTGGTCGAAAGTTTGTTGAGTTTGAGCTAAAGCTCATCTGAAGCTCATCTTGAGCGTAGAGCTTATTTCACTCGATAACGAGGCGAGTGCCATGTGGTGTTCTCGCCATGCGGAAAAACCAATCAGGGCTCTCCGAACTGCCAAAAGCGAGCAGCTTTCGCCACCATATAAGGCGAATGAAATGCGCGTGTTTTATTTTGTAGTGTTGCGTAAACGGAAAGGTTCAGTGTTCAGAACTTCCAGCTTATAGATGATTATTGTAAGCCCGTGCTACATTGGAAACAAGTGGTGGAGACCAACAGCTGGGCTACTTGCAACTTTTCTTTGATAGTTGAAAAAATATTGCCTTCAGAAACTAATCAATGAGTGCATTTCACTCAATTATATTCTAGTGCACAACGCTCAGTTGAAGTGACTGTCGCCCCAAATCATCATGGGTATGAAGCAAAAATTACAAAACGAAGTAAGATAAGGTTCACGATGCCTAAGCTCACTTCGCAATACAAAACCTATTTATCCGAGCAAATTAAGAACAACCGGAAATGAAAAAAAAGGCTAGGGGTTTAGCACACCAATATGCCCTGCGCGTGCATGCTTCTTCTTCGCAGTACTTTGACGCGTACTCTTGTCCATGCTCGTTTTTATCACTGTACTAATACTTCAACTGTTGTAGAGCTAGCAAGATGTAAGGGGTTTTCACGAAGAGCAATCAAAAGCTTGCATCAACTTGCCATATAGTTGCTAGTAACTAACTGCCGTAGATTTCTTACTCTCTTTCCACGTTAGCATGCAGGAGCAAAAAAAAAAAACGCCTTCAAAACACGCACTGTGAGGACTTCCGTGGTTTATAGTCGCTTCTTTCAGTCAACCTGAAACTTATTTAGGAAACTTCAAGAAACTTTTATGCAAAGGGGCTTAATGTAAATGTAGGCGAAGGCTTGACAAAGCTGAAAAATTCTCAGGTACAGTAATAAACAAGAAATAAAATGAGCGACCACGTTGTTAAAAAGAAAGAAAGTAAAAAGAGAATGACGAGCATCATTGCACCGCAAAATTCTGTGCAAGAGCCATGACATTTACGATTCGTCAATAGGTATATTTAAAGATATTAAGGTTTAGAGGGTGTTCCCAATGCTAGTACACATTTATTCTAAATTTGGTTCGTGATACTACTGGTAAGCCGTATATTTGACGATATTTAGGAATGTATTGCAGCTACCAACTATCGCAGCTGCAGTGCAATCGTAACAGTTACAGCTATGAGCTGCTTCCACGCTTACGATGGGCAACAATCGAACGCTCATAGCAGTTTGCTATTTCACATGGTACTAATAGAAGCTCGGAAACTATGGTTTCATGTCACTCAGAAATATCCATCAGGGCCTTTTAGGCTTCTCATCTTTTTTTTTTTTTGATGAACTGCCCTCGCAGTATCTAAAACATGCATTAGAAGTATTTAAAGCTTCATCCTTCCCGAAAATTTGGGGAGTCCCGGCAGCACAGGTCAGCGAACTCACTCATGAGTCGACTCATGTCAAGCGGCCCCAAGACGAGCACTGGTTACGTGAGATAAGGGTAATAAAGAGAATTGGCATCATGGTCGAAAAAGCTAATTCTAGGCTGACAGACTCGTCAGTCGACTCACTCGAACCCACTTACTCAGATCGAGCCATGAGCCTGAGCCTGAGTGAGCCTGAGTGAGAAATGTTTTGGTGAGTTTGAGTGAGTTTGGCAGAGGAAACTTTTCTAGGTTCTGAGTGTGAGTGAGTTTAAAGGTCCAAATCTACTTCATGAGGGAGTTTGAGGGAGCTTCACAAGTATTGTCAACTTATGCCCGGCAGTGCGGAAGAAAGTACTGGCCAGTTTGCTAGGTAGGAATGCATGACGTATTTCAGGTGCGTTGACAGCCTGAAAAAAACATGCATTTCGAGTTTTTCTAAACACACTTCACTATTTTACAACACAATGCAGCATTCTTATACAAGTCAGGGCGATAATATTTCTTCACTTCTGACACCGGTGATCACTGGGCTAAGAGCTCTACGGATTTCAAATCGGAGAGGCCCTTTAGCTCAATGATCACTGATGTCAAGACGCATAGTGTATTTGGTTGTTGTTTCTGCAACCAGCATTTTACAATATTTCGAAAGGCTATGAAACAAAACTTATGACAATTCAAAACCAAGATAGATTAGGGCCCGTATTCAAAATTTGCTACTTACTGAACAGCGCCCACGGGGCCTTGCTTCGTAGTCCTAGCATCACTTTGAGCAGGGCACCGGAACATTCTTCGGTGATGTTTTCATCCGAAAGAATGACAGACACGATTGGTCCTACTCGTTTGGACAAGTCCTTTACGAAACCGTCGACGAAATCCTCCAAGTCCAGCGTCGTCACCTCCGGCACATCAGTGTGCCCGAAGGCTGTCGTCTCGGTTGTGGACTCTGTCGTCCATTCAGTGGTCAATTCTGTCGTAGTGCTCTCAGTCGTCGTCTCCGTGGTACTCTCCATCGTGGTCGTCTCATGCGTCGTCTCAATCTTCGCGATAGTTGTGGTGGTGCTGCCGTTGACAGCCTCTGTGAGGCCATCTTCGGCACACAGGAGTGGCACGAGCGCGAGCAGCACCAGTAAAAACTTCATGGTTCATAGGCGCGCCCGATCATTGCTAGAGCCTTTTATTGGCACACTATCGGACCGATCGACACTTTTTCATCTCCGGAAAAAATCGCTCTCTCCTCAAACGATCTTCCACGGTCATCGAGGAGAAAGAAGAAGCACGATAACAATCGAGGGTGAGGAGACACAGATAAACGTAATACCTGCACAAAGGTCACGAACCGGTTTACGAGCGGATGCCTTGACCCCGACTGACGTCACGCTGTTTCAAGAGCGTGCGTCGCCGTCCGCCGAACGCACTAGCACGCAGTCCCTCTCCGTCTATATAACAACCGCGAATGTCGGAAAGGGGTGACCGCTGTAGACTGTATATACAGCAGACGGCAGTACGTGCGCGGTATGACGTCGAGATGCTACGTACGAGTCTAATCTTTTCCGGTGGTGCAAATACAAGCCCCCATGAACACTTCTCAGTGCGTAGGCACAGGACGTATATCAGGATGTAATCAAGGTAGGTAGGCAAAAAAAAATAGAAAAAAGAGAAAAATGCGACTTCATTTTTAGCCCTACATGAGATCTAAATGATAGCTCACCATGTTTGTTGAGAATTCTGTCTAAAGAAAAATAAGTGCCTTGGTGAATTCTTTCGCGAAGAACAAAACAATACGGGGTCGGCCGTGATGGTTCAGCGACCTTGCTTTTGCACTGCCTAGTCTCACTTGCGTTGATTTGCCGGGTTCAGGGTTGTCAAGCTCTGCGGAAGCAGCAAGCAAGCAAACTCATAAGCAGTGTTTTCAGCGAATATTATAAACCTCCAGATGGACAAAGTTAATTCCGGGCTCTACCAGTACAGCGTCGCTAATAACATTGGGTGCACTTTCCCGTCGTAGATCCGCACCGTTGTTATTTTTTAAGCTTGATGCGGTTATAGTGAAATGTATCATTTGTACTTACAACAAAACAAATACCAGACCTTTCTGCTCACATTTGAAGTAGGTTGTTATATTACTTTCGACTACGAATACCCTCCATGGCTCTGTATGCTACCAACCATAAAACTGAAAGTAGATGGTATGGTATGGTATGGTATGGTATGGTATGGTATGGTATGGTATGGATAAGTTTATTAAGGTCCTGAGGATCAGTACAAAACTTGTGCTGGCTGCTCCCACATCAGGACAGAGAAGCCAAGCCCCTTCGCCGCTACACGGGCCCTCTAGACAGCCCTGAGTTGGTCTGCCAGCACGTCACTGTGCAGCATTCGCTGCCCCTACTGATCACAGTGAGAATCATCACCGACCAAAGCCGAACAGCGCCAGAACATTTGGTCAAACTGAGCAAACCCCACACTTGGTACAATAGATCAAAACGCCACAGTCCAGATTACTTTTATTCATGGCGACCGGATTAGGGTACGTCCACGTGTGCACAAGTTTTAATGTACCGTTAGTGGCCTGTTAAGTCTAGAATGCAGCAAGAGGAACGCCCTGCACCCTAAGTGGTAATGCTAGGTTATCTCGTTTATGTTAACAGTTGGTCCCTAAACTCAGGAGTGGCAGATCCAGCCGCCTCAGGGATTGCACAGCACACTAATCCTCGTGCCTTCCAGTGCGCCGCCTCGTTGAGGTTATGCGGGGGTCCCACCAGTGACCTCATGTGCACGGAAGACTAAGTAATTGTATGCGGGAGTGATGTCCTTACCCTGCAGCGATCTGTAGCTTTGTCTGTAACAACTCTCGTTACCAAGGCTTTAATGACATATTTAAAAAATAAGACACGTTCACTCGAGTCGTTTAACAAGAAGTCATTTACTACATATATATGCAGTGTCTAGAACACATGCATGTCTACACAGGTGATACCGATAGAGAACACTCTTCAGCTGCAGCACTCACTAAGCTACAAGAAAGAATCGTTTAGGGTAATTGATTACACATTGTCTACAGTGGATGGACTGTTCGCAAGCCGATGAGCGATGAAGTGTACAACTCCAAAACGATGTGCGCAAAAATGCGTATTTTACAGCGATTCACAGGCTGTAGTAAAAACACTTTGCCGCAGAGAAATGGAATGAAATTAGTAAGAGCTAGTACAAAGTATGAAGCAGTTACAGAGCTTCCAAAGGCAAACCGAGCTCAGCTAGAGGTTTTTCATTGTATGCCGAGACACTGTTACTCCTGGGAGAATGGCAGCACAGAATCCCATGAAGTAGCACTACAAGCAAGATCGCAAAGATAACGTTGTTTCCTTCCGATATCGGGAAATAAATTATGTTGTGCTGTATAAAGCGAGCTCTTGTGAAAGGGTATAGAAACACATGCTTTTATCAATAGTAATCACACTAATGGCCTACACTACATGGGGCTTTTTATTGAACTCAACAATTCATTCTATTCAGACAAAAATATGGGAACACTTATACATCGGGCCCAGAACAAATATATACACTTATACATCAGGCACGGAACATTTTAACACAACACTAACCTTGCTGAAACTCCTAAATGCAATTTCGAATTTGTTCTTTCTTCTGGGTTACCCACATCACGACTTAATTAGACACCAAATTCATTTACTCTAATGACAGCAAAACGCAAAACCTTCAGGCTCTCCGCCAACAAGAGCCTTAGGAAACTCTGCATTGAAAACTATAAACATTTTTTAGCACTAGAATGTTAATAAAGATTTCAATATTATTTTTACTTTAACTTCACCGTGTATACCTCTATGTATTACATTTCTCAATCATTTCATGACTGTCATGACGTGCATATTGAGAGCACCTACCACTGATTTCAGCGATTCTCATTAAGTCATGTTGCCGTGCAAATTCTTTAGAGCTAGTTATTTCTTTTTGTGTCACAAAATTATTTCAACCTGTACGTGGTGCCGAGCTTGTATATTGTGTGCGCTACACATTATTGAACGTTATATGGTGTGCCTTCTGTAACGCTTTTCGTTATATTTTTTCAACCCCTACATGCTGCGTGTTCTTCTTACTCTAGAACCAAGTGGTATCGATTGCAGCATTTGTGCGCTAATATCTGCTTGAATAGACTCAATTTAAAAAATTCAAAATCACGCTACTTTCTGTCCAACTCTTGACTGCATTTATTATAGGCTTTGACAGATTTCGGAAGTTGTGTTGCCTTCGTCATTACTTAATAGAAATGCGTATTTTCTGATAATGTCACGATTATTTAGTGTGTACTGCTTGCGTGAATAATTGGGAAACTCGCAGTGGTGTACAGGAGATGCTCCACTCCGAGTTATCGAGCACTCCAAACAAGGGTAAGGCGCGCACGTGCAAGAAAGTCGGAAAAAATTTACGAGGAGTGGTTTTACTCTCTGAAATTTGAGACCAAAATCCTGTGCCCCATGGCTGGTTTTGCACAAATGGTTTATTATTTTGTTCCATTGTGACTTTTCAACAGATGCAGTGGAGCGAGATGCCTGCAGAGTGCAGACAAAAGCAAAAAAAAAACAACCATTTTAAGGCTTTTTGAGGAGCCAACACTTTACGAGAAGGCACGCCCATCTGTGGGAAAAACTAATTCGCCGAACGAACCAGCTGCTCCCCGAGGACTTGATACAATCGCACCCATGTGCATAATAGCGATATAGCTCAGTCTTGCTTTGTGTACCAGTCGAGATGAAGTCAAAATCGAGAAACACCGAGCACACTTGTTTGGTGTGTGCGCCGTTCGGTTGTTGCCATTCGTGTAATAACAGAAAGGCAGTCACCTACGCGCAGTCATGCTTCGTTCATCCTCGAATGAGCACTGCCAGGCGTTAGCCACACCACTTTTAGATTAGAGGTGGTACTGTTTGCTCGGACTACATCAAATAGCATTTGCGCTGGTCATGCTTGTATATGGGGCGTCCCCCCCTTTGTTGGGCGCAAGAAAATCACAGAGAAAACTTAAAAAGTAGAAGTCGATCGGTGATCTATGGTGTGATACAATTCAAGTTTCTGTCGGGTAACCACATAGCACGCATTTCTGTGATTGTTTTTTCTTGTCTTAATTTTATTTGTGCGTGCCTACCTACAACCAGCTGAGAGGTCCCTCTAACGTAGGGTACTGTACACTAAACGGTATTCACAGGGGCAACCCCGTAAGTGCGCAGTCGGGCTAAGTGAATACAACAGCAGTGAAAAGAGCACATGTTAACCAATCCTGGATTCCCCGCTAGGCGTTAAAACTTTTTTATTTAATGTTAGACACCATGGATGCTTTGATCATGCTGTTGCAAATAAAGGAGAAAGAAAAGGCGACAGGCACAAGCACGAGCGGCAGGCGCTGGCTCTTTCAGTTGTTTTTTTCAGTCCGAAGTTACTTTCTGTTTTTAAAACCGTAAGCCTTCAACTTCCTGTCGATCCTGCCGCCCAGTTTTTGGCCGATCCCCCTTTGTGGGTATGCGCCAGTATAATAATAATAATAATAATAATAATAATAATAATAATAATAATAATAATAATAATAATAATAATAATAATAATAATAATAATAATAATAATAATAATAATAATAATAATAATAATATTATTATTATTATTATTATTATTATTCCTTTGACCTTTGACGTAGCCAGACTATCGGGTACGGGTCCCCTTCTTTGTTTCTCACACATACCCCACAATATATTTTTTTTCGTTTCGTCGACATCGTTTCTTTACTTTAGATAACCCTTTGTCACAACATTCAATGCACGTTAGAAAACCACTAAGCAGTGGCGTACCAACTCTTTCGCGAGTGGGAGTGAGGGCAGACCTACCTCCCTCGTGCGCGAGGATATATATATATATATATATATATATATATATATATATATATATATATATATATAAAGGCAAGAGCCGACCGACCCATTAACGGGAAACCCTTCCTTTACGCACGCCGTCACGGACCCTGCCGCCACCGCGGCGACAATCTTGGGTGGCCCGACACACGTCCAGAACTGAACAGCATGTGATAAGAACCGTATGTGGACGTACACGGACAGTTGGTTTCGTTCTCAGTGTTGACAGTGGTTCTTCCTCTTTTTTACTT